TTTTTTTTTTTTTTTTTCGAGCTCGATTCTCGAGAGAATAGCGAAGAATACTTCGATCGATATTTGACAGAGTATAATAGTAATAACGATTCGTGTCTTCGCCAAAAATTATCCTTCTTCCCGCTCGACGAAACTAACTCGTCTCGCAGTCGTAAAGCAGTCGCGAGAGAGAACCATCCGGGCGATGAATTAACGGTATCAAATTCGTGGGAAGGTGATTATTCTTCGTCCCCTCCGGTGGGGGGAGCGGAGGTGAATCCGAGCGGAGCTCGGAGTGGAGATCGGTACCGACTTCCCGCGCCGGGGTGCTGTCAGTTATCAGTGCATAAACATTCGTTCTCCACCTCGCGTTACGAGTTATACGCGGCAGGGTTCGCCGGGCGGAGGGGGGCAACGCAGCGGCACGCATAAAGTAAGAAAAAGGGGGCGCGAAAGAAGGAGAGAGAGAAGAAGGAGCGGAGCAAGGGGGTGGAAGACGAAGTGTCGGAGGAGGAGGAAGAAATGGATAAAGGGGAATAAAAAGGCGGAGGTGAAAGAGGCGGAGCAGGCCGGGGAAGGAAGGCGCGACGGAAGGGATGGAATATGATATAATGCAAAGGCAAAAAAGAAGGAAGGCTGCGGTGGACCGTGGTAGGGGCCGAAAAGGGAGAGATTTAAAGCCGCGTGGACATTGTCATCGGACGCGCGGCTATAAACCAAAGCGGGCCGCGCTGCTAACTGAGACTCTCTCTCCTTCTTTAAACCTCGTGCGTGTAACACGTACGCCGTGGTATGTTTCGCGATCGGCTTCGTCCACGGTACAGATCTCCGGTTGGTGCTCTTTGCCTACGCGTATATCGAGCCGCGTTTACGATCTTGGCAGCCGGCCAAGGGACAGGTGTTATTTTTCATCGATTCGAGCCGCCCCTCTCTCTCCCCTCCCCCAAGATCGCGCGCCACTCTCCCTCTCGGCTTTAAACACCGTTCCGCGCCGATTTTCGGACGCCTCACGGCGGGGAGACACAACGGGGAAGGAAGGTGAGAGAACGAGGAGGATATTCTCGTTCTCGAATCGCGTCGAGGGGGGAAAAATCGAGCGCGCCCCGTTACGCATCGCTTGCTCGGGACGAGGAGGATAGGGCAGGGTGGAGACAACGAACTCGCTACGAGGAGGATTATTCGGTGTGGAAATTCGTCGAAACCGCGGCATTCCTTAGTACAACACCAGGCGAAGAAGCCTGGTCGAGCCACTCTCGATCGCCTCGTTTTTGTTTTTCTTCTTTTCGCGAGGTGAGCGACGGTCGAGGTCACGTCTCCTCGTGGTCGTGAGGAACCCCACAAAGAAGCGAGGGGGAGAAACACCGTGAGGCAGAAGGAAATAGAGAGAGAGAGAGAGAGAGAGAGAAGGTTGGTACGCCCGTGACGGTTCGCTATCATCAATTGTTCCGTGTTAGGTACCTCGAAGGAACGAAGTGCGCGCGGTGTTTGTCCCTCCGTTATCTGTCCGGTTCCCGCGGCGGGAGAGGATTCCCTGGACAAGATTTCAATGAACATTTCTCAACGGACGTCGCTGCCCGCTCGCGAATATAATACCGCTCCATCTTCGCGAGTCGTCGAGGGTGCCTCTCACGATCGCGTCGCGTTCCCCTCTCGTCTAATCCCGTGGCGAGGAGGAGCAGGCGCACACGGGTTCGCCTATCGTTGAATTCCATCTGCGCTTCCCTTAACGCTCCGCTCCGCTCGCGATAATTCACGCGCGCACGTGAGCGGCGGTGATGAACGAGTCGATGCGCAATGAGGTGGCCGCGAGAAACTTATTATCGCGGCTTCGAATTGTATATCGTGGGGCGGGAGAGGGTGTCGCAATATGCCGGGGAAATTAATAGATTTGCCGCCACGTTGAAATTGTGTCGCTTGGAATAATTAATCGTGGCCTCGAGAAACCTGGCAACACGCCGGATTAACCCTGCCGATGATGCGAGGAGGAGGCTCGTGGAGGAGCCTGTGACCGGTTTCGAGACGTTCGGTGAAACTCGTTCGCCGTTATGGCCGTTTACGACCGTTTGAGGGATGTTTGCCGTGCGTCGAGCGTTAAGAGTGGAACATGCTCGTCGTATTTTGCGTTTCAACGAGGATACTAGGTGTTTCCACAGCCTGTTGGTTATGTGGCGTTAAATTAAAGATTAAGCGGCGGTGAACGGTGAACGTTGGTGAGCGAAGGTCTTGGGAAGAGCGAGGCGTTCGGTCACGATCCGAACTGATGTATCGATACGATATGTTTGGATGTTATGCAACGCGGTTTGATTACACCACGGAGCCCGGTAATGGAGCCGTTTCCAATCGAATTTCGAACATTGTCACGTTCACCCGTGGTTTTGCGAACACCCATGCCACGGTTTAACACCGAGATCGCGCGAGATATAATAAAACGTTCCGTGTGTTATAACGTTGTATAACGATTGTTTAGATTTGTCGTGCGATCCGTGGCGATCGTGGTAGACGCAACAAGAGGCTGGGTTGGACGAACGAAATGTCAAGTTCTGCGCGAGTTGACCTTTGTTCTGAAACGAAGGATCTACGTCGTTCGATCCGTAATCGAAATGGAACGAAAACCGATTTCGTCGATTAAAATCTTGTTGCATCTTTCGAAGGCGATCGTCGAACGAGAAGAAGAACGATTCTTTTCGAAATATGAAATTTCTATCGCGCGAGAGAGTTTGAAAAGTAACGGTTTTAAAAGGTTAACGTTTACGATGGAGATGGCAAATGATATCGGAACGAAGCGACACGGGTTCAGGTCTACGGTCAAACAGACAGAACGTTGGACGTTCCACGGACTGGCATTACAGTCCGTGGCACAGTTTATAGCGACAGCGTCTATCTAATAATAATCGTAACACTAACGATACCATCGTATTGCCACGAAGGCATTAGAAATCGTGATTCGTCGGGCTCGTAACCTTTATAAAGCGATGCGCTATGGCCAGATGATGGAAGATAACGGAGACCACTATAGATAACGGTATGCAGCACGGACAGATCTGCCTGAGAAACGCGGAGATAACCGCGCGACGATGAGAGGACGTCCACTTAGCAAATCGGGCTATAACGAACCAGGATGTCGTAATGTTACGATGAGAACGTCCGCTCGAGGGGATCTAGATTAAGAATACGTACATCCTTGAGAAACTCGATGATATAATTGTTTCAACGTCGTGTTTATGTAAGATCGTGTCTTCGATAAATTAGATAGATTTTCGGTTAGGTAAGGCAATATCGAAGTGAATACGAACGCGGTATAGACGAAGGCAAACGACATCCTCGAGATCGGTCATTCTCTCTCATCGTCCAATCGATCTAATTTAAGTAAAGACAATCGTGTAAGGCATTCGTATTTAATTTTTGTATTTCTGATACAACTTTCACGGACGATATTAGGTTCACGTACTATATCGTTTCGTAATATCTGATCTTTCTTCAAAAATGATCCCTTTTGTAAAAGAAGCTCGAAAAAACGTATCTTTGAGACGATTTTATAATATTATCTGACATCTTTTTGGTCTACTGGTGAGATATCTGAGGCATGAAATATCCTCCGTCGCAATGCTACGTTGCGATAATAAATTTTGAATCCCGACAGAAAATGATAAAACTGGAATCTATACGTTCCCCCATCGTAGCAAATATTCAAAAATCCGTATAAACGTGTATACCCCAATTAGCATAAACGTGAAAGGTAATTAGAATAATTCCTCCTCGAATAAATGCCCCCTAATTTCCTCGTAGATCCGAACTGTCTCGAAACCATGAATAAACATTCAGGAATTCCCATTGAATTTGTTGGACGGGTTTAAAACGGGTGTTTTCGCCCCGCCGTTTGTATCCTTTCCTCTCGGGGAGGAGAAATTTGTCTCGTTTGGCCGGACGCAAACGTACGATCGTGGTGTCCCCTATTTAGGAGGGGTTTTACAAAATTTTTATCGCGGCCAAGAAGCCCATTTCGCCCGGAAACTCGCCCGTTTCAATCGGGATTTGCGGATGCGATACGATAACGTGAGACGCGAGTATCCTCGAAACAGCGACGTGCGAATTACGAGCGTACCAATCGAGTTCTTGCCTCGGCCATCGATGCCAGGGCAGATTAGAAGCCGATACGCACGATCGTGTGTGTATGTGTGTGATACAGGCCAATGACAGTTTTACAGAACTTGAAATATCGAGCTGGAAAAGGAAAGAACAGAGTGTTTCTTATACCCAACGCATTTCTAAACGTTTTATATTTATTTTACGTACGGTATTATTATCTTGATTTGCGTCAGTATTTATTTCCAAAGAGAGAGATGAGAATAATTGGACGCAGGATATGGCACGTGAAAGATAAGAGTTCTTTTTTCAATCCTTAATACGTATCTCGATAATTTATATGAATTTTATAAAATTCAGAAATTGCTCTTATCGATGATAGTACTTGTTGATCTATTTAATAATATGATTGAGCTTGATCCTATACGACTATATATAGGATAGTTAATCTTGCTCTGTAATTATCGTGATTTATGAATTAATGTCAACAAATGTTAATATTAAATTGAATTCTCCATTATCCAATCGTTATCGTCAGATTATACTTTCTTTACTGAACTGCGTTTATTCTGCACCTTGTCTAGTATCACTCCGATTTCTTTTTAAATCGTGTACAAAGGGAGGCGCACTAGATGAGACCAAACGTGTACCATGGACGATAACTTAACGGATATTTATGCGCTTTTGATAAAGCAAAAAGATAAAAATAATATTTTTCGACTGGCCTCTCCGGCCAGCTTGTGCAACACGACGCGTGTGCGTGAGCATCCGTGACATCACACACCTGCTCGACACCACCTTGGAAACGGTTTAAGTGTGTTTCCCCTTTGTTACTGTAGATCGTCTATGCGTAAAGATTTTCGTATCGAAATGAATTTTTCAATTCAAAGTATTGCCTTAACACCTGTCGAAAGATGGACGAAAATAAGTAACGTTCTAATTTAAATATCGAATTACAACAAACGAGTAAAATTAAATATTCGTATATTTGCTTGATTCATCTCTTAAAGGCGTTATAACTTCATTAGTGGGACGGAAACGTGTAAAATATCCTTTATATATCCCACATATTCCATGCTACGTGTAGAACACGGTAGAGGTACACGCATTTAATTCACCAGTGTGCAATCGTGTTCGAAGACGTACAAGAGTGGCAATATGCGGTTATATAAACGCACATTTCGTCGGATGAACGTATATCGGTTCGACTGTTGCAAACTGTGTTGAGAGAGAGATAGAGAGGGGAGGGATTTGTATTTATTACGGCGTTACGTAAATGGTTTTCGGGATACATTTCGCCCACGGCGAGCGCAAAATCTGTGAAATCTCGTCCGTGATTCAGGGATCGGACACGTCTCAATTATACCCCGTTAAAGGAGCCGTTGATCTTAATCACCTCCACGGTGATATCTTTTTTTCCATGTCCACGCCGTATCGCGGCCGCCCGCGAACCTTTGCTCGCGGATCCGCTGCAAATCTGATACGGGCGACGATACGGATCGACGAATCTTGTTGGACACAAGTGAAAACCGATAGCCGTTACCGGGCGAAACTTACGAGACAATTACGAGACGTCCGACTTTTAGAAATATCGCGGTTTGTATCTAACCGGCGACTTGTGATTTTTACCAATTAAAAGGATCGAAAGGATTTATGACGGTCACGTGGGAATCGATGTTAGGAATTCTAGAATGTTAGGATTATCTGATCCGAAAATTTAGAGGCCCAAGAAGGTTTAAGGGGTAACGTTGAATTTGAAGATTCGGAGAGATCGATATTTTCTTAAATTCTTAAATTTGGAGATTAATTCGATGGATAGGAATACTAAAATTATCGAAGATTTAGAATCCTAGAATAATTGAAACTTGGAAACCGTTTTTAATTAATCTCGCTAAAGAAAAAAGAACTTAAATGTCATTAATCTAGATCAGACCGTCTCTTTCTTCTCCTCTTTCGAAATTTTAATCTTGAACAGTGGCCGCGCCACTGTGACAAGTTTCTTCCACGCACACGCCAGAAGTCGCACCAGTCGGAGAAGTCAAAGAACGACAGAGAGTTCTTGATAGAGGGGGTGGAGGAATGAAAGTGGAGCCGCTATTAACGAATTAAATTTAGCGAGTGGTACTCGAGCGGCGTAAAAAGAAAAGTCAACGAAGAAAGTTTGACGACGTCTGGTCCGCAGATTCGTCCGCGGCTTCTTGCACGCGAGATCAGAAAAGGAAACAATGGAGGGGGAAACGTTCGCGTGAAATTCGCGTTAATTAAAACGTCTTGCGGGACGCTATATACGGTAGCCGTTACTTAGAAAAGGGTGTGATATTTGCGATCACTTTTTGGCGAAAAATATCGCATTAAACATCCGATAACTCGTAATCTGCCATATTTCTTCGCGAAAGACTTCGTTTCATTTCTTTCGTCGAATTAATTTGTGAAAGAATTATATTATTAAACTCGTTCGATCGATCGAATATCGATTTTTCGATGACATTTTTATCGTCTTTTGCGTCTCTTGAAAGTTCATGACGCGTCGTCGGATCGAGGTATCCATGCTGAAAAACGAAACCTATTTAAAATGATTACCTGATGAACGCGTGTCGACGTCATGTTCCGCGGTTCACACGTTGCATACAGAGCCACGTTGCCGCAAATCCACGCGGTGGCAACGTCTAATTATCCCGCGAAAAGTTTAGCCTCCAATTACGAAAAGGGCCGCCGCCTGCCACACGTTGGCTGGCATTGTTACCAATTTTTCGCGACGCTATTATTACCGTCCGGTTGCCTTTAGGGTGGGCAGACAACGCGTGCCCTGTTCGTTCTTTGATTCGCCAATTTCACGCAGCCGGTGTTCTTCTGAAAACACGTCTGCTTCCAGACTTAACAATCTCTGGGGTAGGTAGACGCGGCCGATTAACCGCAAATCGAATCTAACGAGTCCTCTCCTCCTCGAGAGGAATCGTATAAACATTTCCGCGTTTCTTCTTCTTTCCCCCCTCTTCGTCTCATTGCCAACAACAAACTATTCGCTATTCGCTTGGGATTCGTGATCGTTCTCTCTCTCTCTCTCTCTTTCTCTCTCTCTCTCGAAAAAAGGAGAGAGAAAGAGCTGGCTCACTTAATTTCCACTTCTCCGCGTGAGAAGTCGTTCCGCGTGTAACGTGTCCATTATACGAGGCAAGGCAACGACGTTATCTGGCTAATCGGTCCGACCGTTTTTCGCTAATCCCCGACAGACGGTACTCGTACCATTTAGTCGACACGTCGTCGGCCAAATCCTCTTTCTTCGCGGCGATTAGTGTCCTCCCCTTAGACGCGTCTAAGGAATCGATTCTATCTTCG